CATTTTCAGAGCTTTATTTGATTATTCACAGTTGCCTTAATGTTTTATTTCCTTCAACTAGGTCACTTCCTTGGGGACTGTGATCAAGGTGTTCGGTCCAGGCTCAGTGATGGGCTAATATCATATTTGTCTAGAAGTGTCGCCTCTATTACTTTGTGCAATGGTGATTATGTGTGCTTAGTATTCTTAGTTTTCCAACAAAATATATTGAAACACAACCAGATATAAATGATTTAAATTGCGATCTTCTGTAGGAGACACAGTCTTATTTTCATGCTCGGGCATAGCTATGGAACGCCAGGGGCGCCACCTTACAAGGTTTCTGACTTCTGCAAGTTTGGTTAGAGCTCTCAATGGTACGAATAAAGACCATGATGACTTGAAGGTTGGCGCTAACAATCATCCTTTACTGATTTGCTTACTTCTGATAATTGTGTGCTTATTTCTTGCCTTACCTTTTTCTAGATTGAAGTGCGCCATGAAGGCAATGAAGTTTATATGGGGTGGATGGCTGAATTTGATTTAGATCGCAACTTTGCTGTTGTCAATGTCCATGCGTTCCTTGAAAATGTTCAGGTTGGATCTTTCCAACCTGCACTAGAAATTCTGCCCCATGGTGAGCTATTAATAGTTATAGGGCGTGGTGTCTCTGGTGAAATAATGACCAAGAATGTGGAATTTAATGGTGATTCAAGGGTATCCGAGGATGATGAAGATCTTGATTGTAAAATCTCAGAGGTACACTTGCATGACGATATGCGCATTTTATTTATGCATGGAGGCAATAAGAAGGGATTTATGAGAGAAGTATATTTTTCGTCCCTTAACTCTTTCAAGAGTATAGAAATTGTCTCTCAACTAGAAAACCAGCAAAATTTGGTCCCTTAACTATTCAAACCGGATAAATTTAGTCCCTCATACCGCTTTGACTGTTTTTTTTTTCTGACGTGGAGTGGTTTTGACTAAAACTAGATACATCCTATAGGCTGGCCCGTCACATCAGCATGTACAAATGTGCAGGGTCCCACATGTCAGCCTCAGGAAGAAAGAATAATAGCTTAAAATAAAATGTATGCCACATGTTTCGAACTTAATACCGGAAGCAGGCCAGATCAGTAGGTAACCACCATACCACGGATACTATGTAGTATTACGCAGACAAGTATAAAATCTTTTGTAGTTTTGCATATATTAAGAATGTTCGCTGTACAATGATATTAACTCATTTAAAAGTGATTTATTTTTTTCAGTTTCAGTCCTCTGCACATATATTTTTTTCTGTACTCATGTGCACAATGAAGTAGCTATATTTTCTGCGTGTCTTTTATTTTTTTACACCACATACTGTTCAAATTTCGACCACTAACAGGCTGGTCCCACAGTTCCAAACAACAACCAGTCCACGTCAGCAAATAATCAACCAAAGTGGTATGAGGGACTAAACTTATCCGGTTTTAAAAATTGAGGGACTACAGTTTGCTGGTTTTGGAGTTGAGGGATCATTTCTATACTTTCGAAAAAATTGAGGGACAAAAAATATACTTATCCCCAATAAGAATGGTTTTTTATTTTTTATTTAACTGTTTTTCTATACAACTTCATTTTGTTCAAATTTAACCCTTCTTGCCTGTCACCTTTGTTGTGTTATTAGGCTTGGGACGGTGGGCCACTTCTTTCTGTTGATGGGAAGGTTGTTGGCATGAACCTTTTTCTGACTACTAGAAAAGCCGTTTTCCTACCATGGGGCACAATTCTCAAGCATCTGGAGCATTACTGGACATCTCAGCAAAAGAAGACTGGTCTTGCACGGTCAAAAACTTCGAAGGTTTACAGGTATGTCTATCGATGTATGTCCTTGTGTTCACCGGCTGTATTCTACGTTAGCTCCTCTCATAAAAGAGATAATAGGGCAAGCCTTTTTGCGTGCTAGACAACATATGCATGCAATAATCTGGATCATTCGCTGTTGTTCCTTAGCCTATTTGTCATCTAAGCTTTGCAGTTTACAATGTTTACTTTTAATATTAACTTGTTTCTTGGCCAGCTCAACCAAAATATTTGCCAACCTTTGGCATATATGATGTATCAGAGATTCACAATTGTCTTGTACTAAGATTAGTCATATTTCTTGTGCCAATGTTGAAAACTTTATGTTTTATTGGAATGTGCATTATGATCATGTCATTTTTCATACAACTTGGGGTCCTATATCTATCTTATTCCTTGCCTATGATTCTACCCATGTAGGTTTTGGGACCATTTTGCGTATTAATGCACTGGTCTGGTCCATTTTACATTTTGGTTAGTAATCAACTAGTCATTTTTATGTCCGGCAGGTTTGCAGTAAGACCCACATGTGTGAAATCTAACAGCCATCCAGAAGGTGAGCACACAGGCACTCCTCGGGACTGCTCAACATTGTGGTATTCTGCAAATTGTTGCAGTTTGTAATGGCATTTATTTAGAAGCTGCAAATCTAGTGTTTACATTTGTATTATTGTATATCAACTAGTCTAGCCTTTTCACTTGTACCCTTATATTGTTAGATCTTATCCATTAGTATTATGTACACTACATTCTTGGGTATGTTCATCCATGCTTCTAATAACGTTAGCTGTTGCTCAGGTTGTTATCATGATTTAATTATTGTTACATGCTAATCATGTGGAGAACTTATGTGAATTTATTTTTCATATATACTATTAGTATATGTTAGTGCTGACAACTTGATCTTGTTGCAGCAGTACATGGAGATTTACTCAACCAGGAGCAGTTAGATCTAGACTCCATGGGTTACCCTAAGTTACCATCCTCCATGTTAGGAGGTGTGTCAGTGCTTCTAAATTTGCTGACCTTTTACAGCAACCATGTACCACTAACAACTATTCTACAATGTATATTTCTCCAGCTGGCATGATTTTAGTTGATACTTTTGAAGAGACTTTTGGCGACATACATGGTGAAGGTGTCTGGAGAAAATTTAGTAAAAGTGCTTCTAACATAAATTGCAATGTTGTCGCACTGGCTTCATTTAATGGTGATTTTACAGAATTGTGCCATTTACTATTTCATCTCTGTTTTGATTACAACTAGCTAATAGCCAGAATCATGGTATGCAGGAGAAAAGAGGTATTTTGCATGCACGGGTTTTTTTATTGAATGGAATGGATCTACGGTAATTTTGACATCAGCAAGCTTGGTTAGAAATTCTGGTGATGAGAACAAGATTGTTGAAAACTTGAGGGTTGGCGCTCCTTGTTCTGTGGCCGCTGTTCTTTTAAGGTGATGCTTAAGTCTCATCACTGTATTATTTGCAGATTGAAGTGTTGCTTAACAACCAATATAGAGAAGGGACATTACTACATTATAGTCTACATTACAACGTTGCTCTAGTCAGTGTGAAGGATTACCCTGCTCTTCGTCCATCAAATACTCTGCTTCGTTGGAAAAAGGATTTTAAAGTAGTAGCTGTAGGGCGTTGCTTCAAATCAGGCATGTTAATGGCTACTAGCGGGGATATGGTTTCCTGGACAGGCACACTCGATCGCGATTTCCTCGTAACTTCCACGTGTAAAATCACTAAGGCAATCCTGTATTTTTTTATTCCTATTTTTTCGTGGTGATAATAAATACTCCTCTGTCTTTTACAAGGCATATTTTGATTGTCCAAAAGCAAGGTTTGACTGTAAATGCCCCTTATTTTGTTGGCAGTTAACATGGTCATGAGAAAGTACTTTGGAATATGAATCAATTTTTTTGTCAAAACCTAGATATTACTGGATTAATCCGTGGTCAAAGCTTGAATTTGGACAGACAAAATATGCCTTGTATTTTTGGAAAAGGGAAGTATAGTTGCGTAGGAACGAGTGGGCTAGCAATATATATTTGGAAAACAAAAATCACAGCTTGTTCATGTCAACTTGCTAGGCTGGGATTGGAGGCCCTCTTGTTAGTCTTGATGGGGATGTTATTGGCATGAACTTCTATGATAAGAGAATAGGGACCCCTTTCCTGTTATTGGTGGACATTTACAAAATTCTAGCATCGTTTGAGACAAAAAGGTATTCAAGTACATATCACATAAGTTCTTTTCTAAATATTTTAAGAAGCTTGCTGAAGCATAATCTTATTATTGCTATGTTTGACAGTGAACTTGGTGAAGTTGGCAATGATAGTGATCCCTCTGGAGCGCTTTTCTGGAAAATGGATGAAGATAACAAAACTAAGTTAAACAGGTTGGTATTCTGATGCATATTAAGCTGGGGTTAAGTTTTGGACAAATTATTTCATTGAATTGAACTGCAGGTGGCCTGTGCCCATGCCTCGCTGGCGCAATCCTGACTATGTGGATGAGGATAAATCTGATGATGATGATGAGGTCTTTGATCACAAATCTGGCCGCGCGCCGCCTATGGACGGTTACTTCAAGGGAAAGAAACTCATGCTCTTTAGATGCAGTCACGCCCTTGATTGGTCACACAATCTCCATATTATTGCTTGTTTTGGATGGCAGAAGTAACATGTGGCTTGTTGAAGTCTTATTTGTTAGGAAGAAGTAGATGCCGATGTGTTCTCCCCTGGGATATATCAGGGAGGAACCAAGGCCATAGGGGATGTTTTTTTCAGATCATGTAAGAGAGAACACTCACGCACAACCACATTAGGAATATCATGCAGGACTTACAGTGTTACACCTTCTCGGTGGTTCGAACCTCGATAAACAAAGTCTTAATCCTTGTTGCGATTTCATAGTGTTATAACCCTTAGTCGAATATCTCAAATTTGTCTGAGAGATCTTCACTCGTCGACAATTGGCGCAAGTAGGGGTAACCCGTCTTCATCACCATGCCCACGAGCGCAACGCGGCAACGGGTTTCTCTTGGCATGACTGTTAAACACTTTAGATATTGTACATGGAGTTAGTTAATATCTCTTATCCCTTCGTAGTCATTATCTCGTGTAACAACTTGTATCTATTTGATGTATCCCGGTGCGCCCGTTGTGCCCTAGTGGCCGAGTATATATATACGTCCTGAGGCCACCCTTTGGGTTGTGCCGATCCAATTCTTCTTCTCTCTAGTTTCACATGGTATCAGGCCATCTCGCGTAATTGCTCGATGGGTTCCCCTTCCGCCGGCGCCATGACTTCCTCTGCTATGACCTCGCTGTCTCTGCCGGCCTCTCTCTCGGCGCCATCCACCTCCTCTGGCCCTCCTTCCGCTAGCCTCATTACAGCGCCATCGCCAACGTCACAGGCTATGTTGATGGCACCTCTCCTACACCTCCTCGGCTGCTTCCACCTGATGACAAGGGGGAACGAGCGGTCAATCCTGAATATGCGACTTGGTACCGGCAGGACCAGATCGTTCTTAGCTACCTACTTGCATCTCTCACCGACGACGTGCTCATGCAGGTCATCAGCTTTGACACTTCTCGTGCTATCTGGGCACATCTTGAGGAGATGTATTCTGCTCATTGCCGCGCTAGTGTTGTCCAGATCAAACTTGATATGGCAAATTTCCGCAAGGGCAATCTCTCTATGGTGGATTACTTCGCCAAGATTCGCTCCTTCGCTGATCAACTCGCGGCGGCCGGTCGCCCCATGCGGGACGACGACATCATCACCGCCATCATCACCAGGATTGAGAGCGACTATGAGCCTCTCATCACCGCTGTCACAACTCGGATTGATGAGATGACTCTTGGGGAGCTCTACTTGCACGCACTCTCCTTTGAGCGTCGTCGCGAGTACCATGCTGCGCGCCTTCATCTCCAAGCTGGCGGCTCCTCTGTCAACTACATCGCCTGCGATAAGCCCGACAACACCAACAACACTCGCAGCGGCAAGTGTAACTACCGTGGCAAGGGCCGCGGTAATCAAGGCGATCGTGGTGACTACAACAACAACAACCGCATGGGCAACCGCGGTGACTGCGGCGGCAATCGCCAGCAGGGGACTACGGCGGCAACCGCGGAGGTGGTGACCACGGTGACTACGGGGGTGGTAATGAGACCCGCGTCCAATGCTAACTCTGCCGTGGCCCTGGGCACTATGCCTGGGAGTGTGGCCAATGCTTCAACCGCGCGTTTTAACCTCAACACTCCAAGATGGCGGGGCTTGCTGCTGCGTCACCTCCTTCCATCCTTGGTGATCCTGCGTGGTTCACGGACATGGGGGCCACCGCCCATATCACTTCTGATCTGGATCGGCTCACCGTAAGGGAGAAATACCCTGGGAGAGACCGCATCCACACGGCTGTTGGCTCAGGTTTGCACATAGCTCATCGTGGTCATGCGATCCTTCCCACCCCTTCTGCCAATCTTCAACTTCGCAATATCCTTCATGTCCCTAATGCTGATAAAAACCTTCTTTCTGTTAATCGTCTTAATGTTGATAATAATGCTTATCTAAAATACTATCCTACTCATTTTCTCATGAAGGATCTGACCAGCAAGAGGGTTCTTCTTCAAGGCAGATGTGAAAACGGGCTCTATCCTATCCGGCCGATGAAGTCCCATGCCTTGTCCTCCGTTCGGCTCTCTGCTGAAGACTGGCATGCCCGGTTTGGCCATCCGGTGTCTCAAGTCATCCAGCATATCTTGGCGTCCAATAAACTAGCGTCCTCGAGTCGGTCTCTGACCAATGTTTGTCATGCATGTCAGCAAGGCAAAGCACATCAGCTTCCCTTTCCTAGATCGTCGAGTGTTTCCTCTTTTCCTTTGGAACTAGTATTCTCATATGTGTGGGGACCTGCTAAGACTTCATCTAGCGGGTTCCAGTATTATGTTTCGTTCATTGATGATTATAGCAAATTTGTTTGGATTTATCTTCTCAAACGAAAATGTGATGTGTTTGACGTTTTTCGTGATTTTCTCGCTCATGTTGAACGACTCCTCTCTTGTAAAATTTTGTGTGTCCAGTCGGATTGGGCGGAGAGTACGAAAAGCTTAGCAACACTTTTTTCTGTCAACTTGGTATTACTCATCATGTTTCCTGTCCACACACACATAAGAAGAACGGTTCCGCTGAAAGAAAATACCGCCACATTGTTGACATGGGGCTTTCTCTCTTATCTCATGCGTCTATGCCTCTACGTTTCTGGAATGAGGCATATCTCTCTGCGTGCTATCTCATCAATAGGTTACCTAGTCATGTGAGTGATAACCTTAGTCCCATGAAAAAAATGTTCCAACAAAAACCTGACTATGTCTCTCTTCGGACGTTTGGATGTGCATGTTGGCCTAACTTGCGTCCCTACAATATTCACAAACTCGCTTTCCGATCTCAACAATGTGTATTTTTAGCGTATAGCATTCGGCACAAAGGATACAAATGCCTTCATGTGCCCACCTCTCGCATCTACATATCACGTGATGTTGTGTTTCACGAAAAAAAATTTCCCTTTGCCGATACCCAAACCTCGCCTGCACCTCCCAGTGTCTCAGAACACACCATTCTTCTATTACCGCATGATCACATTGTTGGGGAACGTTGCAGAAAATTAAAATTTTTCCTACGGTTTCACCAAGATCCATCTATGAGTTCATCTAAGCAACGAGTCAAGGGAGAGAGTTTGCATCTACATACCACTTGTAGATCGCGTGCGGAAGCTTGCAAGGTGATGATGTAGTCGTACTCGACGTGATCCAAATCACCGATGACCAGCGCCGAACGGACGGCACCTCCGCGTTCAACACACGTACGGGACGGGAGACGTCTCCTCCTTCTTGATCCAGCAAGGGGGAAGGAGAGGTTGATGAAGATCCAGCAGCACGACGGCGTGGTGGTGGATGCAGGGCGTCACAACAGCAGGGCTTCGCCGAGACTATGAGGGAGAGACGTAACGGGGGGAGATGGAGGCGCCAGGGGCTGGTGTATGAAGTCCATCCTCTCCCCCACTATATATAGGGGTGCCAGGGGGGGCGCCGGCCCTAGTAGATGAGATCTACTAGGGGGGGCGGCGGCCTAGGGGAGGTTTCCCTCCCCCCCAAGGCACCTAGGGGTGCCTTCCACCACTAGGACTCCTCCTAGGGGGAAACCCTAGGCGCATGGGCCTATAGGGGCTGGTGCCCTTGGCCCATGAAGGCCAAGGCGCACCCCCTACAGCCCATGTGGCCCCCCGGGACAGGTGGCCCCACCCGGTGGACCCCCGGGACCCTTCCGGTGGTCCCGGTACAATACCGATAACCCCGAAACTTGTCCCGATGCCCGAAATAGCACTTCCTATATATAATTCTTTACCTCCGGACCATTCCGGAACTCCTTGTGACGTCCGGGATCTCATCCGGGACTCCGAACAACATTCGGGTTTCTGCATATACATATCTTCATAACCCTAGCGTCACCGAACCTTAAGTGTGTAGACCCTACGGGTTCGGGAGACATGCAGACATGACCGAGACGCTCTCAGTCAATAACCATCAGCGGGATCTGGATACCCATGATGGCTTCCACATGCTCCTCGATGTTGTCATCGGATGAACCACGATGTCGAGGATTCGATCAAACCCTGTATGCAATTCCCTTTGTCAATCGGTACGCTACTTGCCCGAGACTCGATCGTCGGTATCCCAATACCTTGTTCAGTCTCGTTACCGGCAAGTCACTTTACTCGTACCGTAATGCATGATCCCGTGTCCAACACCTTGGTCACATTGAGCTCAATATGATGATGCATTACCGAGTGGGCCCAGAGATACCTCTCCGTCATACGGAGTGACAAATCCCAGTCTCGATCCGTGTCAACCCAACAGCTACTTTCGGAGATACCTGTAATGCACCTTTATAGTCACCCAGTTACGTTGTGACGTTTGATACACCCAAGGCACTCTTACGGTATCCGGGAGTTACACGATCTCATGGTCTAAGGAAGAGATATTCGACATTGGCAAAGCTCTAGCAAAACGAACTACACGATCTTTTATGCTATGCTTAGGATTGGGTCTTGTCCATCACATCATTCTCCTAATGATGTGATCCCGTTATCAACGACATCCAATGTCCATAGTCAGGAAACCATGACTATCTGTTGATCACAACAAGCTGGTCAACTAGAGGCTTACCAGGGACATATTGTGGTCTAAGTATTCACACGTGTATTATGATTTCCGGATAATACAGTTATAGCATGAATAAAAGACAATTATCATGAACAATGAAATATAATAATACTTTTATTATTGCCTCTAGGGCATATTTCCAACAGTCTCCCACTTGCACTAGAGTCACCAATCTAGTTACATTGTGATGAATCGAACACCCATAGAGTTCTGGTGCTGATCATGTTTTGCACGCGAGAGAGGTTTAGTCAGCGGATCTGCGACATTCAGATCCGTGTGCACTTTGCAAATCTCTATGTCTCCATCTTGAACATTTTCACGGATGGAGTTGAAACGACGCTTGATGTGCCTGGTCTTCTTGTGAAACCTGGGCTCCTTGGCGAGGGCAATAGCTCCAGTGTTGTCACAGAAGAGTTTGATCGGCCCCGACGCATTGGGTATGACTCCTAGGTCGGTGAT